ACATACTGTCTATAGCTGCTTTCATGGTACAGTTGGCAGACTGGAATAGTTATGTCAAAGACTGTATGACCTCTACAGCCTACAAGGTTTAGCCTTTAGCATTCTTTCCAGAAAGAGTTCTGAAATTTAGATCTGGAATTTTCTGCTTGCTTTTCAGAGTAATCTCGTTTTTTCTTTAGCACATCGCATGAGCCTCTTCTTCACAGGAAGCACAGAGGAGCATCAGAAGGCAGTACTTGCAGGAAGCACTTTGGCTGTGTGATTCCCAGGGAACGCGTTAGCACCAGAGCTTCTGGAAAAGACATAGGAGTCGGCCTGGACCGTAACTAGACTTGACTGCTACCTCACTTCCCTAACAATTACTTTTCCCACTCGGGCGTCACCTCGGAGATGTGCAAGTGAAGTGGAGTAGGGGTGCTTTGTACCCTCGGTGGCTGCCTTAGGGAAGAAGGATAAAGGGGCAGGGCAGTCGGTGGACAGACAGTGGGGCTTGGAGGGTCCCCCTTACACACCTTCACAAGCATAATTCACTAGAAAATGACAACAATTGTGCCTCTTGATTGGCTCATATCATCACTACCAGGAAGCCCTTTGCCACATCCTGTAGTAGAGATAGGTGATCTGAGCTTCAGTGTGATATGGCGGGGCGGGGAGGGTTGGGAGGGGAGAAGATGGGAGGGGAGGGAGAGGTGTACATTAGCCTCATTTGATTTAAAGTAGAAACATGTCTCTTACGCATCGTTTTCCCTCCAGTTTATGGTACAGGTGGCACCAGTGGGATCTGGGGCATAACTCGCCCACCCTATGACTGGCAGCAAAGCCCACAGGAAGCCATTGATCCAGGCGCCCAGGATCATGCCGACATATGTGTTAGAGGTCATTCTTCTCCCTATTGACAATCACATGAAACATTAGCACCACTGGCCAGCTGTGGGATCCATACCTTCACCCTGTCTTAACCAATTGCTTACAACAATTCAACGTTGTTATCAAGTAGATTCTTTACAGAATACTTAGGCTCAAATCGTATCTACTTGAGCTTGCAGTCTTTAAAAAATGGCATTTGAACAGAAGCTGGGATCAGGTAGATGAGGCTCCCAAACTCAGCAAACAGCATGTACAAAGGTCCCAAGGTGGGAGAGCTTGCCTAGTGCCCCAAAACATGAGTAGACCCAAGCAAAGGTGGAAAGGTAGACCATGGAGCAGACCTATGAAGCTTGAATTTTATTCCAAGTTCAATAGGGAATCAGGAATATGGTTGAACTTAGAGTGTCAGAAGGAAGAGAGTGTCTGTGATTGAAAACCGTTATGTCTCTACTTTAGAATGAATGTGTGTGCACTGCTACTTAAACAAGGACTGGATGCCTTTGGGAATCGGAGGACAGTGTTGTACCTCTGTCCGGATGGCAGATGGTCAGGTATCGATCCACGGCCACAGCAGTGAGTAATCCAATACTTGCCATACCAAAAAAGATATTCAATCCAGCGTATACCTGAAAAGACAGAAGTAGAAAGACTCTACCTTCTGAACACTGCTCCACAAAACATCTGAATTGTCATGCTGGTGGTCGAATATATTTTAAACTTTATTTTACTGATTTTTCTAACTGAAGGTTTTTGTTTGGATTTTAAACTCTTTCTTCTTAATTGGGTTTATAGAGCAGCTCATCAGCTTTGCATTCAACATTTCAACACATTTTGTTGCATGTCATTGAGTGAAACGCCCTCAATGAACTGTCACTTATCCCACTTTCTCCCTGTGTTTCCTGTTTCTGTTTCGTTTTCTTCCCTAACCCTCCGTACTTTGTCCTTCAGTAAAGGCTGCCTTTTTTATCTTAAATGGTTGATTTTTCTAACTGGGGGGCGGTGGGAAATTCCGTTTCAGACCTGAACGGTAATTAGGGCCATAGTCTTGGGCGTTCCACCATTCTCTATCTGACCACTAAACCTCGGCTCCTATGATTCTGAGTTTGGGTCTATGTTTTTCTCCCACTCTATCCAAGACCTTGTAATGCGGCCCCATGCAGATCATGTGATAGTAGGAACTGGACACTATCTAGTTCTTCTGGTCTCAGGGCAGTGCAGACTGATGCTCTCCTGGTCCGGTATCTATTGGATTAATTGCCCATCATGCCTTCCATTTTCATCACTCTTGTCTCCTCCAGATGGGGAGAGGCCAATAGTTGCACCTTAGATGGCTGCTCACAAGATTTGAAACTGCTCACTGAAGTAGGATATAGAACACTGTCTTTGGGACCTAACTTGTGGCCAATTGCCTTCAGTGTCCCCGCAGATTATGGTCCTGAAATCCCAGGCCCAGAGACTCATTCCCTCAATGTATTTTCTTATATCTAAGAAGTTTTCAAACTTTGCTTCCTGTATGGACCACCACATTCATGGATACATCCACCTACCATTCCTCCTCCCTAATTACCAAATCAATTTTCTATTGCCAATTTTAATAGGTGTAATAAAGGCACTTAGGGAAAGTGTTTGAGGTGTCATTAATTAAAATAGACACTTTAAAATGCTTTCAGATTTAAAGTGAAACTTAAATGACATAAGATCATCAGCGGA